GAGGGAGCGCCGCCTGGCCCAGACCCGGGAACGGAATGGGGCGGCGGAAGCTTTCCCGTATTCCCGGGGTGGGGTGCGGGGTGGGGGGGATGTGTGGGTGGAGAACGACGGGGAGGAGCGAATGGAGGTGATGGCGACCCAGCCTCCCCCCATCCCGGCCCTCCCCGGGAGGTGCACGTGGGGCACGGAAGCACGTGTCCTCTGTGCCCCCCCCCTCCCCGAGGTCGGTGCGGCGGCAGTGGCGGCGGGCAGGATGGGGCTGAGCGCGGAGGAGGCGGCGGAGCAGGAGGACCGTTTCGACGGCATGTTCCTCGCCATGGCCCAGCAGCACCAGGGCGGCGTGCGCGAGGTAGCGCCGCCGGGCCCAGACCCGGGAACGGAATGGGGCGGCGGAAGCTTTCCCGTATTCCCGGGGTGGGGTGCGGGGTGGGGGGGATGTGTGGGTGGAGAACGACGGGGAGGAGCGAATGGAGGTGATGGCGACCCAGCCTCCCCCCATCCCGGCCCTCCCCGGGAGGTGCACGTGGGGCACGGAAGCACGTGTCCTCTGTGCCCCCCCCCTCCCCGCCCCGTTATCGGTGATAACGGGGAGCCCGGAGGAGGCGCTAATTAATTAGTGTGAGGCTAATGAGGAGCTGTGGCCTTGGACCCCAGCTCTTGCTGCCCCCGGGCCCCCAGCGCTCGGTTATAGCAAAGCAAAACACCGCAGGGTTGGGACGGGGACTGAGGTCCCCAGCCCCGGTTTCCCGGCCCCTCCATCCGGTACCCGCCCTCGGAGACACTCGGCCGTGGAGTGTACTTGAACGTGAACGTGCCTCCCCTCCGCCTGGGTGGGGTTTTGGGGGGTCTGGGTGGGGTTTTGGGGGTCTGGGTGGGCTGGAGGGTGTGTGAACATCCCACACGCAAAAGGTTTGGGGAAATAGTGCTTATAACAGCTCCTCCTGCTGTGCTGGAACCTCGGAAATACTGACAGGAGAGAATTCCTGGGGGAAGAAAAAGAAAAAAAAAACCCAACAAACAAATAAACACACCACAAAAGATAAGCCAAGTCCATCGAGAGGGTGGGTTTCTGTTGGGGGATGCCAGCTCACAACTGCTAATTCATTGGCGATACCTGCCAGGAAACAAATTTTAGTCTTCTGTAAAAAAATAAAGAGGCTGTGGAGGTGGGGAGGGTGAGTTCGCACCCGGTGATGCACTGGTTTGGGTGTGCTAAAAAGCAAATTATGGTATACATATATATATGTGTACGTGCACGTGTACATACATTCCCAAATCCCTGCCTCGGATGGATCTAAAGAACATCCTGGGGTGTTGGAGTAGGTGTTTGTCCAAGGTGACCCGATAATAAAATGCTTGCCCTTTCTTCATGTAAACCACACAAACGCTCCTTTTGAAACCTAGGAATCCAGGAATTGGATCTCCACCAAAGCCACTGGATATTTTCTGGGGGGAAACAGTCACAGGGCTGATTTCAGCAGGATCTTGGCACAGACACACAGCGGGAGCACAAAGAATAAAGGCTGCTCAGGAGACACGAGTGATCTGGTCTCATTACTCTTTTTTTTCCCTCTTTTCTCCTTCACCCCCCTCCCCGTTTCCTCCACCAGCTTGTGAACACGTTCTTTAGTTTCCTGAGGCGTAAGACGGATTTCTTCACCGGTGGAGAAGACGGAGTAGCAGAGAAGGTAAAAAACCCAAATCCTTAAGCTTTTATGGCTTCTAACTTTCATGCCACCCATATCTGTGCCACGCTACTGAACAACTCAAGCACTATGGTGCCCTCGAGGACGGGCAACTCGTGATGCTGATGAAATGCATCACTCAAGCAAGATAATAACACGCTGCCCCTATCTGAGGCGGGGCACACAGGATTGCTTCTTCGAGTGGTACCGACAGTGCGGGGTGGTTTTTTTTTTCCTTGCCACGCTCTGGCCAAAGGCTTGTTTGGAAAGCAAATCTGGCAGACGCGGTGACTTAACGGTGACAGACACCGCGGTGGTGATAACCCCGGGTTACCTTGTTTGTTCATCTCAGAAAAAGCCCAAAGTCCACAGCTCTGCGCATGCGGCTGCACCTTTGTCTTGGGGTTGGGGTTACCTGCACAGAGCGAGCCTGGGGGTCCGGGTGGCTTCATGGGCAGCCTGAGCATCTCAATTCCAGCAGGTATTCCTCACCCAGCTCCAGAGCTGACAAACTAAATCGTGTCACCGTCAGGAAATAAGAACCAGAGCATTCAAAAACACCAACTGACTAGACTTTCTGATTTCTTGCTTCTGCTTCCCAGTTTAGGAGCTGCTCCCCTTCCTCGATACTGGAACTCCATCAGCAAAGCAGGAGCTGCTGTGTAATATATGTTAGGGCAGATGTTAATTGCCAGCACAGCACATTAAGGTACTCTGTCTAGTTTAAAGTGGTAAAACTAAGGCAGGGAAGGGATTGGAAAGTGGGTGGTTTCAAGGTAAGAAAGATGAAACCCGCTGCTGTTTTTCTTAGACTAGAGAGCAAATCTCCCCAAATTCCTGGGGACCGTGTGCTCCCAGGCAGTGAAACCCTGAGAGGCATTTCAGAGGTGAGCAGCTACTGGTGCTTTTGGAGGTTCTGGCTACTGTCGTTGGCAATTCCATAGCAAACCCCTGTCTGTGGCTGTAAAAGAAAAGCGTTCGTGTCCTTGGGTGATACCTTTTAAAATGTTTTTATGTTCTTTATGTTAAAATGCTTTATGTTCTTCTGAAAAGGTGCTCGATGCAGAGTCTCTCCACACCGTAGTAACCACAACCAAAATTGAAGCAGCTGCTTGCCCAGTCCTGCTCCTCCTTTGGCATTAAGGAGAAGAGAGGAGAGGGTGGGAAAGTCATCGTCTTTTACGGGGTGGCATTTGAGAAGCCCTTGTGGTGTGGAGTGAGGGGGGTGTGGTGGTATGGTGAGAGAAGGGCAGTGGAAATAATTAGCTCACAGTGGATCATCATGCAGTGAGGAAGAGGGGTTGGGAGGCACACGTCTTGAATTCTGTATCCTAGGAGACACCAGACTCGTGTCATGTAAATAAATCTTGCTTTCCACCTGAAAACAAAGCAGAAATACTTGGTGGTTGGTTACAAGACTAGGAGGCTTTGAGTTGCTCTGCAAAGGTGCTGATTTCCCCCCAAGAAGTTTCTGGGACATACAGAAACCAGTCTGAGACCTCTTCCCCCTCTCGATTCCTTTTCTCAGGTTCTGTCTGTATTGTTTTTCAGAGCAGACTTGGGTTCTCATACGTGCTGCTGTGCACAGCCCTGCTGGCCTTATCGACCACGGGGCAATCACTCTGGCTTCCTGCCTGTGTACTCAGCTCTCCCTCTGAGCAGCAGGGCCCTTTGCATCACAGACCTTGAGATTTTGCTTTTCGTACTCACAACAACGTGAGAATTTGGAGGGAGGTCTGAAGCAAAAGCATTTATGGAGGAGCTTGCACTCCATAAGTGTAAAACGCCGAGCTTTTCAGATGTGTCTCCTCTAAATCATGATGCTGAATCTCCATCTCGTGCCCGGGGAAAAGCCCAGTTGTGGGAAAGGTCAGAATTAGGTAAAAAAAAACTTGGATCCAGTGTCTCCATCCTTCCAGCTGTCCTCGATGTACAGAGTAGCTGTCAAATGGCTGGGTTAGGCATCTGCTCGTCCTGCTGGAATTACACAAAAGCCAAAAGAAATGAAGAATTTTGGTTTCTCTGTTATCTCCACGGAAATACACTCCCTGTGTAAGGAAGAACTACATTTAAACATTTAGAGTTTTCCCCCACTCTAGATTTTCAGGCAAAAGACTAGCGTGAAAACAAAGGGAGAAGTCACAAAATCTGTACAACTAACAGACGTTCTCATGCTCAGTAGGCAATGAGTTGGCTTCATTTGGGTTTGAAAAAGTGGGAGAAGTCACAAAATCTGTACAACTAACAAATGTTCTCATGCTCAGTAGGCAATGAGTTGGCTTCATTTGGGTTTGAAAAAGTGGTGCTTTTTAAAAACCCTTCGCTATGTCTTCCTGTCTTTCAGCTGATCACAGATACCTTCAGCCATCACAACAAACTGGCTCAGAAGGAACGGAAAGAGAAAAAGGCTCGTCAAGAGGCAGAGCGGCGTGAGAAGGCAGAGAGAGCTGCAAAACTGGCTAAAGAAAAGCAAGAAGCAAACGAGCCAAGGATTAAGGAACTTACGGATGAGGAAGCAGAAAGGCTGCAGCTGGAAATAGATCAGGTGAGAGCGGTGCCTGGCACCTGCAGGTACCATCTGGGTCATCTCTTCCGCTGGTCTGCATGTAGCTCAGGGGGCAGCGAGGGGTTAAAATGGCTCAAGGCTTGTTCTTTTGCAGTGCTGGAACCACCAGACTGGTGTGCTTTGAAATTAAATCAGCCTAGGCCAAACCCTTGCGTTTTCCTGTGGCTTCTACCATAACTCACTTCACCTTTGTGCCTTCAGGAAGGTCTCTGATTATAGCAACACCCTCTGCTACGGTCCTCAAGGTGTGAGGAGCAAGGGATTCTCCCCCTTGGCAGCACAGCTTTCCTTCAACGCTCTTCTCGGGGCTGAAAATTCCCCTTCTCAGGGCTGAAAATTCCCCATGGGTCTTGGATGTAGCTCCGAGTCCTGCTCTTCAGTTTGAGCTGAAGAGGCTGAGGCCACCTTGTGTCAGATCAGCAAGTTACACCGAGTGTCTGAGCCTGTTCCTTCTCTTTTTAAACAGAAAAAAGAGGCACAAGGACAGGTGAACAGCGTCCCGGTGAAACCCTCAGAGGATGAAGGCGAATCTTCGGATTCTAACAAGCAGGTACAGCTCATCTGGGGACTTCATTTTAATTGGAGAGAAATCTTAAGTTTCTGCACAATCATGAGAACTCCTGTAATGTGAGGGAGTCTATTGACAATTCACACTTAATTCCCAAAGATTTCAATGTTCTCATGCTCAGTAGGCAGTGAGTTGGCTTCATTTGGGTTTGAAAAAGTGGTGCTTTTTAAAAACCCCTTCGGTTTTGTGTTTTGTTTTCCTCTAACAGAAGCACCTATTCATTTCGGGCTAAATGTATGTGAATGTCAAATATGTGCAGCTGACCTGAAATTCTCATAAAACCCAGGAACTGTTGTTACACGTGGTACATACAAACTTGAAAAGCTTCTTTACACTTTAAATTGGTTGCTTAGGGGACAGATGACGAAGAGGAAGATGAGAAGGATAAAGGAAAACTTAAACCCAACTCTGGCAACGGGGCTGACCTCCCAAATTATAGATGGACGCAGACTCTTTCAGAACTGGATGTAAGTATTGCCTTATTACCAGGATCAGAGGAATCTGAGCTGGAGAATAAGTGTGGGTGCTGATAAGAATGGGGGAGCTGATGCCCTGTATCTCAGTTGCCTGTGGAAGGTTGGTAATTGTACTTAACGGCAGCATTTCAATACCTGGGGAGAGCTTGGTAACTAAATAAAATGCCCAAAAAACTGTAGTTAACTTTGCCAGACCTTGGTCTTGTTTAAACAAGGCAATAAAATCTGCTTCTCCTTTTATGATATCTTTGAGGTATGGGCCATCCTGGTGCCAAGCTTATTCATGTATCCTTTCACCTCCTGCTCGCTCAGTCCCCCAAGGAAAATATTGCATGTTTGGTCTTACTCTGGTGAAACCAAGGCAAAAATAGCAGCACGAGAGGGTAAGGAGAGGCCTCAGTGCTCAGCTCCTCAAATCTGATCTCTCCCTGGTGCAGCTGGCCATCCCTTTCAAGGTGAACTTCAGGTTGAAGGGGAAGGACATGGTGGTGGATATCCAGAGACGGCACCTCAAAGTTGGCCTGAAGGGCCATTCCCCTGTCATTGACGGAGAGCTTTTCAACGAAGTGAAGGTGGAGGAGAGCTCCTGGCTGATTGAAGATGGCAAAACAGTCACCGTGCACCTGGAGAAGGTAAAGCAGAATGAATCGGGGAAGATTCAGGCTCCTCTGCCTCTTCCTGGTGAAACAAGAGTCTGAAAAAGCCTGTAAAAGCTCTGGGCTTTGTCAGCTGAAGCAGAAAAACCATGCTGAGCTCATCCTTGGTCAGTGATGCTGTAGGAAGCAGGGTATTGCAAATTCCCCGTTTCCAGCCTAATTTCATGCTAATCCAGGATATCCAGTTGGTTGCTCAGCAGTTCAGGAAAAGCTGGAAAGAAATCAGTCATTTTAAAGTTGTTCCTTACTGGAACAATGCCATGCTTTGGCATCTGTTAGGGACCTGAAAACCTGGGGACAGACCTTTTTGCTTATTATCTCCCTTCTGGCCCTCTCCAGGTGATTAGTTTTTAATCCCGTTCATGTCATGCCAAATGTGACATCAGATTTCCCAGTTGTGAAAATTCAAGCCACCTGAAGTGGTTCGAAATGAACGTAGTGCCCTTTACCCATGTTCAGATTTCACTGACATTTAGAAAAACCATCAAATAAAGTTTGATTCCAGCAGCTTTTTTTTTTTTTCCTGAGTGACTGAGATTTTAAATTTCCTAGAACAAGGCCAGGAAAAATAAAATATTTGTTTTTGCTTCTTCATTCCTTCAGATCAACAAGATGGAATGGTGGAACAAACTAGTCTCCACAGACCCAGAAATCAACACCAAGAAAATCTGTCCAGAAAACTCAAAGGTAAGAACTCCCCCAGTTTGACCGAATGGAACCTTCTAAATGTGCTCACGCTCGGTTCACGTTCAACTTCTACATCTTGGGTTTTTTCTACCAGTTTAAAACCAATACTGGGAGTGCTGCTGCTTATGATGCTCTCATCTAACATAAGAGCCCCCCCAAACTTTAAACAAATGAAGCTGAGTCTATAAATTAGTGTCTGTAGAAGTATTTCTGAGCTGTGTGCCCAGCGTGGCGTAACCCCAACGTATCCGTGTTCTCTCCAAGCAGGGGGTGTGGATGGGTTGAGACAAATTATCCCCGTTTTGATAGAAATCCTTGCTTTTAGTTGTCAGACCTGGACAGCGAGACTCGCAGCATGGTGGAGAAAATGATGTATGATCAACGACAGAAATCCATGGGCCTCCCCACATCTGACGAACAGAAGAAGCAAGACATTTTGAAAAAGTGGGTAAACCTCATTAATTTGGGGGTATTTGCTTTCCTGAGCCCCTCTCTTCCACTTTGCCACCAATAATGTGATCAGAAAACAGGTTGGCCTTCAGTCCTGCCTGTGGTCACCTCTGCAGTTACGTGGTCATCAAATTGTTGGCTGGCCACCAGGGTCTATAAAAGCCCGTGGGGTTAGAAAGCATAACGGGAAATCCTGGCAATAGCCTACCTCTGGAATTGTCTTAATCTGCTGATTCCAAGTCCAGAAAGCATGTTTGGGACTGGAGGTACCATCTCAACTGAACTTTAACACGGTCTTGATTGTTTTCTAATCTCCCTCTACCCGGTAGCCCAGATAATCACCCCCTCCCTGCGCACCTGCCACCAGGCAGCTCTCTCCAAGCCAATACTGCTTTTTATGCCTTTATTGCCCTGTTTGGCATTGACGCACCTTGGCAGGAAAATTACCCACGGAGCTCCCAAGGCCGTTTGGGAAGGTGTGGAGGCAATTCAGGGTCATGCAGCTCCTTCAGTGAGCACAAACCCACGTCCAGAGAAGGGTGACAAAGCTGGTGAGGGGTCTGGAGAATAAGTCTTATGAGGAGAGGCTGAGGGAGCTGGGGTTATTCAGCCTGGAGAAGAGGAGGCTGAGGGGAGACCTTATTGCTCTCTCCAACTCCCTGAAAGGAGGGTGTAGAGAGATGGGGGTCGGTCTCTTCTCTCAAGTCACAGGACAAGAGGAAATGGCCTCAAGTTACGCCAGGGGAGGTTCAGGCTGGATATTAGGAAAAATTTTTTCCCTGAAAGGGTTCTCAGCCATTGGAATGGGCTGCCCAGGGAGGTGGTGGAGGCACCATCCCTGGAGGTGTTCAAAAGAGGGGTTGATGTAGTGCTGGGAGGTCTGGTTTAGTGATGATGCTCCTTGTTTGTTGTGTGGGTGTCTATTTTTGTCAGTGAGGTTGACGGTTGGACAAGATGATCTTTAAGGTCCCTTCCAACCTAGAAGATTCTGTGATTCTGTGATCTCATCTCAGGATTGGAAGCAGGATTAAGCATACCAGGCCTGGCTCCTTCTCTTCCTTGGCTTATCTGTAGCGGCAGAAGCTTCATTGATCCTTGTGCCAGGTACAGAGTAGGGTGCAACCGGTTTAGAGCAGAGACTGGACTTCCTTAGTGCCTGGCTGTTGAGTTAGTTGAGCAGGAGGTAGGTAGCCCTCCTGGGAAGTTCCACATACAGGATACCTCGTTGGCAAGGTCACTCGTTTGGTGCTCTGGAAGTTTGGCTGGTAAAGCAGGGGTAGGAAGTTTAGACTTTGGTCAGGCCAAAGTAGACTGGGTGACACCCAGGTGGGACCTAATCTCTGTCCCCATGGAGCCCTCCTGGCTGCTAAACAAGGACATGGTTCTTGCAGCACATTATTTCCGTGGAAATGGAAAGTGGAAATGAAGCTGTGGCGTTTCAGGGGAAGCCACGAGATGAGAGCACTGAGGAAGAGGAGAGGCCTGCCCTCACTTGCACTTTGTGCGTGAATCCCACCCCCCTACGGTTTTGTTTTGTGTCCCTTGGTGAACTGTGGGGCAGAGGAGGAAGCCAGGAGCTTCTGCAATACACTAATCACCCCGTAGCCACAGCGTCTTCTTCTCAGAACTCTCTGATGTGGCAACCTAAGTCCAAATAGATCTGCTGGGGTTGCTGTACGTTTGAAATCAGGTTGCACCTCGCCTCAAAGCAGAGTTCTCCGGTCACGTCCCGCAGTAGTTTTCACTGTCACAGCACTGGAGATATTCCCCACGTCCCCGGTAGGTAATGCCTAAGATCACAAGTTTGACCTTAAATAGTAATCTGCCCTCATGATCTCGCCTCTGCCCCGCAGCCGCTCTCAGCTGCTACGTGTCCGTCCGAGAGGTAGCAGTTGAAGGGTGTGTGTTTGATAATTAATAACTCCCATGTGTCCGGACTTGCTGCCCTCAATGGTTTGGCAGGATTGCTGATACCACTGACCCGAGGAGAAGTGTTTGTAGCGTGGGGAGTGAGTCCTGAGGAGCTCAGAAAAACTGTGGAGGGCGTGGGGAGGAAGCAAACTTGCTAGTGCAGGAAGTAGGGATGCTTTAACCCCCCCCCCAAACAGAGCTGTTCTGTATCTCCTGCTGACTCACACCCACCCTCTTCTCTTTGTTTTTCTTGCAGGTTCATGGAACAGCACCCAGAAATGGACTTTTCAAAGGCTAAATTCAACTGAGTCCTCCCTTTCTCCCCCCCCCCCTCTCAGTCAGCCTGTCGAATGGGGCAGGATACGCGGTGCCCTACGGAGGGATCCCTCCCCTTGGGCAAGGAATCCCTTCCAGCTCCCCCTGCCCCAGCCCGCTCTGGAGCCAGCTCCATGAACTCGTCCTCACTTGTCCTGTGCTGAGCAGAACTCAAGGCCACAGAACCGTCCCGCAGCAGCTCCGGTCAGAGCCATCTGCCACCCTTCCCAGGCAGCAGTTAGGAGAGAAGGAGGGGGTAGAGAAAAAAGGGTTGTTAGGGCTACGAGAGCCAGGCTTGAGAGGTTTTGGGACTCACCCTTAACCTATCACTTAATCTCCTGGCCCTTCAGAGCTGCTAACACACTCTTTGCCATTTCAGTTTGGCAGCAGGTACTCTGGAGCTTTTACCCCCTTCCCCTCGGCTTTCCTATGAAAAGAAGGGCCAGTTTATTTGGTAAAATAATTCTCCTTCTGCCTCCTTGGGAAGGGAAAACACCAGTCTTAAAAAAAAAAAACAAACCTACCCAGCTATTGCAGTAGAGACAGACTTTGCTCCTCCTTCCTGCTGCTTCTCTTCTTGCCAGAAGTGGAACAGACTGAGCCCTGGAGGGCTCCCGTGGCAGCTGGAGAGGTTGCCCCACTGTCCTACAGGTTGTGGGGGGGGGTCTGTGGTTGTGGGCAAGAGAGGGGACGTTGGGGGGGTTTTGGGGGTGCTGTTCTTGCCGGGAGTGTGTCTCCTGCCCCTTTTCCAAGAGCCTCTCTCTCCCTGCTGACTACTGACAGGCATCGCCGCCTTCTCTGCTGAGCTCCTGCTGACGAGTGGCGTTACCTCTGCATGCTCCTACCTTTGTTAAAATTGCAGTGTGACATAAAGGAAAAAAAAAAAAACAACCCACAACAACAAAAAAGTGGCATTATTTCCAAGGGGGAGCATGTGATTTCTCCCACAGGCTGGGACGGGGCGGTAGCAGGGAGTGAGGTGCTGGGGATAGGGGGGGTCTGGGGGTGATGCAGCCACCTGTGAATGCCTCGTGGGGGTCATAGAATCATAGAATTGCCCAGGCTGGAAGGGACCTCCAAAGGCCATCTAGTCCGACCCCCCCGCAGTCAGCAGGGACACCCCCAACTAGACCAGGTTGCCCCAGGGCCTCGTCGAGCCTCTCCTTGAATATCTCCAGGGAAGGGGCCTCAACCACCTCC